GTTTATACATTAAGATGTATTATTAGTAAATGCAATGTAAAAATGTAGTTTGTATTCTCCTCCCCTCGAAATATTAATTGAATAACTAAAGGGAAGAGCTCCAGACATTTTGAGAATCACTTCACGCACTATTGTAGCTTTTTTTACCAATTAGGAGATCTCCTAAAAATAACATCTTATAAAAAACCTTCTGGTTTGTGTTAATATTCAATATTAATGCAAAATGAAAGTATGTAAGGGTTCTGTTTTTGTCAGACAGAAAAATAATATATTAATTTTTGCTGTTAGTATAGTATTTTTTTCATTTTACTTTTATTTCCAATGAACATTTAGAATATACGGTATAAATTATTCGACCTAAGGAATATTGATGAGAATAAAGTTAAGAAATAAAAATGAAGTGAAAGAAACAACTGAAATGAACGAGGGCTGATAAAAACACTGAAATGTAATGTTCTGCGTTCACTTCAACAACGATGTGCATTGCAGAGAGTTTATTTTCATCTCCTCTATGACAGTTTTATGAGAAAGTGTCTAGAAACATACGGGTGGTAGAAAGGCGAAAGTTACCCGACATGAAAAACAAATATGATAGTCCATCTTTCACTCCAAGATGTGTGATTGGTACCCAGCTGGATCAGCTGGTATCCTAGTTACCGAGTTGAATAAACACGACGCGGGGCGAAAACAAGGGGAGCGACGCCCTTTGCCGGAGGAGGTTGCGTTATCAGCACATCTGCTGAGGGATTACGGCTTCTGTCAATGTAGGTCAGCGAGGACGTTAACTCGGAGGGGCTTCAAACCCGCCTGCGTCGTAGCCGCTTGCTTCACCCGCCCCCGCGCCTCAGCAGCTGCTGCCGCTCCCTTCCACCGCCGCCCCCGCTTCCACCCACGCCCTGCCTCCCACGCGACGATCAAGTCGCGCATTCATAGCTGGTACGTGGCTAGTTCGAATTCAACCACGGTCTGCAGGATAATTCTCGCTACTAGCGCGGAGTCGATGGTATTATGGTTAGCGGGCTATTCTACCCAATTTGATCGGGTTCAAACCCGGTCGAAGCCGTGGATTTTTACGGGCAAAAAAATCTTTCGAACTCCTTTCGTCGTTAATCCCTTTGGTATGCCTTCCTATACCATGAATCCACAGTTTTATTTCATGCAAAAATAATCTCAGCCGGACTGGATGGCCGAGATCGTTAAGGCAGTAGTGCCGTAGCGATCTCGGACCGAAGGATCGTAGGTTCGAGACCAAGTTTCGCATGGTTGTATTGTGTTCGTCCTTTCACCCCCTATCATCATCGTGTCATCCTCATAGTTACCATACCGTTGCACGCAATAGTGGTCGCTAATGACCTAGAAGTTGATGTGATCTTAAATAACAAAACCTCAAGCCTAAATGATACCTCTGGGCAAAATTCAAATTTGCCTAACTCGTCGCCCGAGTAATACCGTCTTTCTCTGCAAGATATTGAAAGGAGTGTAGCGAAATTTGCGTGGTCAGACGGTACAGCTGTTCTGAGTCTCACTACGTAAAATAAGGCATTAACGAACAAACTTTGCTGGGTTGTATTCTGCCACTGTCTGGAGGAGAATTCTACCGACCGGCAGCTCTGATTGACAGTCCTCCTTGGGATTCTCCGAATGCTGAAGCACCTCAACAAAGAGGTTACGGCTCACTTGCGATTTTCCCTTCCTCATCCTTGAGACCTCCGCTCTCTAACATATACATACTACCACGCCCTGAATTACCGCACAAGCATTGAGATAAATCGTGAGATAAGAGCTTGCACGGAGATATCAAACCGAAATTAATTTAACTTATATAATAGTCAAAGAATAACGCTTTGAAAATAGAACGATAGAGTTAAGAGACCATTTGAAGACATATACGAAAGGTTGACCCGCTCTTTCGGAGAAACGTAACCTCGTGGATTCTCAGAATCCGACTCTTAAATATTATACAGAATGCCAGTATATAAAATTATTAAATTTTGCGACAAGCACTAATAAAGTTTAATAATAATGTCATATATCACCTGACTGTTATTCATTTACTACTTGAGCTTACAATTTCAATGCGGGATTGCGGTGTTCCTACTCGTTCCACTCGGGCTGCACGCAGCTGGCCTACACTTCGATTAATACTGGTTGACACAATGACGCAAACACATGACGACGTCCGTTCACACTTCTTCAGCAGTGACGCTGTCGTTCAATCGGGAGCTTGATCGTCACTATAATGACGTCACCCGTGACGTTCAAGCTCCCGATTGGATGACACTGCCATAGCTAACGACGTATACGTACTTAATGTTTTAATTGAAGTATAACGAACACAGAGAATGCCACAACGTAACTACCGGACTTTTAATAAATTCACAGGATACTATTTAATTGGCTGTCCGAGTGACGCCCCGTCCATGGCAGAGGAGCCGACGTTTCGGTCGCCATTCTGCGACCTTCCTCAGGGCGTTATGCCCTGCATTACGCGCCCTGCATTACGCCCTGAGGAAGGTCGTCGAATGGCGACCGAAACATCGGCACATTTGCCATGGACGAGGCGTCACCCGGACAGCCAGTTAAATACTGACTCCGGCCGCGGAAGCCTACGCTATCTCTAATTCACGGGAGTTTTACAAGCGCTGTCGGGGTGAAGAAGCGTTTGCCAAGGAGAGAAACCTCTTCTACACTGAATCATTGGCAACGGTTCGCTTCGTATTTCTACTAGTGATGACATCGATAACAAAACATTCATGTTCAAAATTAAAACATCGATGTTCAAAATATATCGACTAAAAATCATCGATGTTTTTCAACATCAATGATTTTAGCCTGGGTTAGTAACCTCCAACATTAAAATTTAATTTGATAGTGTTCGTTTTAATCAATTCGCCAAATAAGGGAACGAGAAGAAGGGGCAAACCCTACACCCACAGCGTATTGGTTGATCATATCTGAATGTGCAAAATGAAAAAAGAGGAAATACATGGGCTTGGAAGTCATCTCAGGCAAGAGAGTTTGGTTCATGAAAGAAGTGCAAACAGAATTCCCAAGGTTTCAACGCAGAATAACAGTGTTACTATCAGTTATTATTTCATATTTTAACTTTTACAGAATTGTGATCACGGGAATTTTTCATTCAGAAACAAAACATCGGAAAAGAAAAAAACACCAGTCCCAAAACATCCATGGGAAAAAACATCGGTGATAATACATCGATGTTTAAAACATCAATATTTCAGCAAAAACATCGATGTTTTGAAAACATCGACATCGATGTTGCATCTCTAATTTCTATCATTCAAGAAAGCCCTGAGAAAGGGACTCTATGACTTTCGGGTATTCGTAACGGGCTAAGAAGTCTTTGGAATACTGTGATATCGCGCTCATATATCTACGAGCTGCCATCTGGCAGGGGAGTCACAAAACGTATATACTGCATTTGTTTGAATTTAAGTTTTTTGATTCCGATTTTACGTGTTAATCCTCTGAATTTGGGGAGAATTAATTCAATACCGGGTGGGCTTAAATGCAAGAGCTTAGATTCGATTAGGATCAAGGAGGGTAATCGATTGATCAGAGGCTTGGCTCCAAATTCAAAAATGCGAAATTCATTATGCAATGAAGTAACGTACTTTTGGTTACTGCTGTTCGGTTGACCTCAAACCCGACATTATTCGAAATTGTAAATTTGAATTTTCCGGACTTCGTCTGAGGCGGTGTTCTTACACATTGCTCTCTGATTATCAAGCAGATAAATTTCATACATATAAATGTTATTTGTGGATAAAGGAAATGATAAATAATCCATTCAAATAACCGCAAATATATTATGTTGTGCTTCAAAGTTGTTGTTTTATTTGATAGGTTTAGCAACAACCGTTGGAAACTGGTAGTATTTACAATACATTTACACATTTATTCGAATATACACAATGTAAAAGGAGAAGCTAGAAGTTTTTGAAGGTGAGTTGAATGGGTTTTTGAAGGTGACAATGAATCGTTTTACCGTTCGTTACTGCTTTAATTTCTGTTTGAAGTTTTTTGTTTATTATGAAGAGTCTAATTATAGATAAGTTTGGTTTTAAGTCTTCTTTTGAATGAACTTAGAATACACAAAGAGACACGGCAAAAATAAACTTGTGAATTCTGAAACAGAAGTAATAGTGGTCCATAAAGAATGTCTAATAAGAAATTTTATAAAACCCTCACTTTGAAAACTGAAAAACAGTTCCATTTATGGCAAGAATAGCGTTTTGGTAAGAACGGATAAGAAAATGTGCGCCCATTGTTTTCATCGCCCAGTGACTGAGATGTGTTGATATGGACAGAAATTGCCGTATAATTATACTACATAACCACCACGAAGGGCGAGAAAATATTAAGCGGTTTTAGTTCTTTTTTCATTTCTCTCCTTTTTGATTGATTTATTGGTTGATCGATTAATTATTCTGGACTCGTCAACTGCTAAAGTCATTTGTCCAGTAAGTGTAGTGTTTTTTGTAGTGGCATTTCGCGGCGATCTTCCCCCACTGGATGGCAAGATCCTGCGACCTATGTCGGCGTGTGGGGATTCTTCCCAACTAGGTGTGTCTTACCAGTGGGACACCACCCCAGCCGGAACAAGCTCTAAGCTCCTGACTGATCTTTGAACAATTGTGATGGTGTCAAGTACTACATGTGTGTGTGTGTGTAAGAAAAGACCGCGTGCGGTCACTGACCCGTTTGTTAGACTACTTCTGATACTACACCTGATATTGATCGGATAAACCACGGAAAACTATCGACCAGAACAGCCGGCCTCTGGAATTCTGCTCCAGACAAAGACTGAATTCGCCCTTACTGGAGAGCCAGTGTCGAAACTCCGTCCACCGTCGGGGTTCAAATCCTAGAACCTCCCGGTCAGAAGCACTGCATCGATTGTTATCATCTTGATCACCACGTAACCGACCTTTAATAGTTTGCTGGCAAATGACTCGCATGTACGTAACCTACTTTACTGACCGCCCAACAACGTGGGGCCTCTGGGGGTCTCCGAGAAGTGGGCGTGGTTCTTATCGCCCACTCCCATCCTCCCACACGATCGCAGCGCGCGCTCACAACAGCGAAGCCCCGAGATAACATTGCGATAAGGCGGAATCGCTTGCTCTGCCTCTTCCTCTTTGGGAGAGAAATTAATTAAGGCTCATGTTCAGAAGCGCAGGTTGAACGTCACATTTTCCCCTATGACTTCCGTTACGGCAAAGTAAACGATGTGAACTTCGATCATGTTTATTGAGATCATTCATCAATAAACATAGATTCATGCACGATTACAACATAACAATAGTATTTAATATACTATCTGTTGATCTGATACTCTCAATTTGATTCGTTTTGACCTTGCTAATAGAATCACTGAGCATGGTAAAGTATATCAGTGAAGATTACAACCAATGAACACTTCGCGGAGACAAAAACTGCAGTAATGAGAGTTTTAGGAGGGAAATGTAAGTGATAAGCCATTTCTAAAATATTTTACCATCTCATAACAAGATGTGCCAAGTACTAATTTTAGTCTCACGGACATCACGAATCAGACAAGACGTTTCATCTTGCTTTGAAAATATATTTCAGGAAATTCAGTAATGTGAGCATGCAATGCTATTGAAACTAATCGCTAATGAGCGAAATCTGCATTTCGATATCATGAACCGTGTAGAGGTTATGGGGGGGGGCATTTTGTATGTCCAAATACAAATTGTTACAAAAACGCTCACTTCACCACAGAGCGTCTAGAGCTCAGGTGCTCACAGGTCGAGCGACGGAGCCGAGGTTTCCATGCCCCCGGGCAGAAGGCAACGGACAATCAGTGTACCATTGACGGTCAAGGCAAGTGGAGCCCGTGCGTTCAATCGCCATTGCAAACATAACTTCAGGGAACGTTAGTCTTCGTAATCAATCTTATTGTCATAATCAGCGACACTAATCAAACTCAAAAACTCTGCACATTTTTACTGATAGACCACAAGTGTTATTTATAGTATTTATAGTGAAGGAAAGGAACACAATTCAAGCCGACGTTGATTCCTGGTCAACGGTTGTGGTGCCGAAAGAACTACAAGCTGCAGACTCAACCTGGAAGGCGCCACAACTGTTCCGTATTTTAGATTTTAAGTTCATTAAAACATGATACCATAATCAGCAAAGTTAGCTCTTGCTTTTCATGTCATTATATGTATTAATAGTTTTATTAGCTAACTCAATAAAAGTTTCTTCACAAAACTTTTCAAAGGCACATGATCATATGATAATTATAATTATTCATCTTACTCCCATTCACAAACATTCAACCAAATTAGGTGTATCTGAAGTACATAAATAATCTAAAGGGTTACGACAGTATCAAAAATACCATCGGGCTTCAGATACTGTGGCGTCATGTCAGTCGCCCCCAAAATATTAGCCACGTGCATTTCATGCTCATGGAATTGTGAACCCCGTAGACCACTTAGGGGAAATTTGTGAACCCCGTAGACAGGCTGGCTGTGGAAACGCGTCGGCGGAAACAGCGAGATGACGCAGTTCCGTCAGCCGGCCCAGAAGGTAATATAAACGGACCCCGGACCTAAACTCCTTCTTCAGATTCTTGGACGCGTTGGTAGGAAGTCGTGTGGATTGTGCGCGGCGCTGCATTTTAATGCATAGGCTACTGAGGCAGGGAACTGAAGCCGGCGTGCTACGTCGAGACGGGAGGTGTCGCTTGTATGCTCACGTAGGCTCACCGAATAATATTTCAAATTATCAGGCCAGCGGTGGTGGTGACCAGGAATATTCCTTCTGGTAACGCGTCAATATTGTTTATTGTGGAATTATTGGACATAGTATTCAGGTGTTGGAGCATATTTCTAATAAATACTCAATAAATTACAAACCGTTCACGCCTGTTGGTTATTGCCCCGGCAAAGTCGCCGCAATACATCACAAACACAAATGCAAAATTATGGCCCGCTGGTCCGAACCTAGTTCGTCGCTCGACGTTTGCAAGACGGTTGTGAATATCGCGCGGGGCGCTCCGCCCAGGAGCTTACGCCGCGGTCGTCTGCAGACGCGAGCTGCTGCCTCTCGCGGTGCGGGCGCGCGGTTTACGTCAGCTGTCAACACGGAGCGGCGTCCGCCCCTCTCCCGCCCGGCCCCGCCCAGCCCGGCGACGGGGGCGTGCGGGTCGCGTGAATATGCATGGGGCCGTGTCACCGCCACGCACCGTGATATCGCACCGGGGCCTTCGCCTCTCAGCGGCCGGGGATGGAGAATCGGAAACTGATCATCGATTGTGGAATCGATCACGGGGCAACAAGTTAGAATATACTACGTACTAGAGTTGCTGAAGCGCCTCCATCTTTGCAGCAAATTGAAGCCATTTTGTTTTTAGTCGAAGCAGCGCCTTCTGGGTAAATATTCTATACAATAGATTTGGAAGAATTGAATTTTATCTAATATATTTAAAAAATAATATTTGTTTGTTTGTGTGCTGGTACGTTTGTACTTTATGCGTTGCCGCACCGTTCATCCAAATGCGATAAAGCTTTGCCAACTTATTGCTTGCACTCGTGGGAAGAATATAGGCATAGTACGGTGGAAATGTGTATATCCATGAGCACGAAGACGCGCGTTGATGATGATTTTATGCTGACCCACGCGCCCCTGTTCAGGCTTTCTCTTCGCGCAACGGCGCTCTACGCAACCTGCAGCACACTGAAGTATTAAGAGTTTCTGCTCCTGCGATTGTGAAATCACACCCGGGAGAGATTGGTACAAAGATCGACAGAGTGACAGAGGCAGACATAGACGGAGAGAGAGAGAGAGAGAGAGAGAGAGAGAGAGAGAGAGAGAGAGAGAGAGAGAGACAAGAGAGAGAAAAGAGAGAGACGGAGAGAGAGACAGTGATTGGGAGAGAAACGGGGCGGACGGACAGACATTTTCCGTTAATCGGCTTTTAGGTACCAAGGGTCCACAAAATATGAATTCTGACTACACAATGTGTTAGAAGAAATAATTAT